TTCTGGACTCCCAAGAGCACTTGAATTCACAAATCCATGTACCCACACATAAACCCAATTTAAAACACAGCCTTTTTGTATTTTATGTCATTGGTGTTTTGACTGCGTGTATGTCTATATGAGGGTGTCAGAAGCCCTGGAACTGGTTACAGAGAGGTGTAAACTGCCATGCTGGTGCTGGGAATTGAACCCCAGTTGTCTGGAAGAGCAGTCAGTGCCCTTAACCGCTGAGCAATCTCTCTAGCCCCAGGTTTTTTTTAAAAAAGACATATTTTTGCCTTAATAAGAAAACTAGTCCAAGGGGCTGGAGAGATGGCTCAGAGGTTAAGAGCATTGCCTGCTCTTCCAAAGGTCCTGAGTTCAATTCCCAGCAACCACATGGTGGCTCACAACCATCTGTAATGGAGTCTGGTGCCCTTTTCTGGCATGCAGACATACATGTAGACAGAATAATGTATAATAAATAAATGAATAAATAAATATTTTTTAAAAAAAGAAAGAAAACTAGTCCAAAATAAGATTAGTAGCTCCAAGCTGGGCAGTGGTAGCACATGCCTTTAATCCCAGCACTTGGGAGGCAGAGACAGGCGGATCTCTAAGTTCGAGACCAGCCTGGTCTATAAGAGCTAGTTCCAGGACAGGCTCCAAAACCACAGAGAACCCTGTCTCGAAAAACAAAAAACAAACAAACAAAAAAAAAAGATTAGTAGCTCCACAGTATTCATCACTTAACCATATTCAAATATAACTTGCTTCCTAACTTCATCTACAAAAGAGCTTTGAGCCAGGCATGGTGTCACATGCCCTTGATGCCAGCACTTGTAACACAAAGACAGGAAGATCTCTGAGTTCATGGTCTACATAGTGAGTTCCAAGAGAGGCCAGATTATACACAGACCCCATCGCCCCGCTCCCCACAAAAAAACAGTAACTTGTTGTAAATAGGGGCGGCGGGGCTGCGTCCCCAGCACCCCAGGCGCCCGCATGGCTAGCTTATGCCCCGAAATAACAACACACAAACTGTATTCATTTAAACACTGCTTGGCCCTTTAGCTCTAGCCCTTACTGGCTAATTCTGATATCCTGATCAACCCATCTCTAATAATCTGTGGGCACAGGTCTTACCGGGAAGATTCTAGCCTATGTCCATCCTGGGTCGGAGCTTCATGGCGTGTGTCTGCCCGGGAGTGGGGCATGGCATCTCTCTCAGGCGTCTGCTCCCGAGAGGAGAGCTGTGGAGTCTGAGCTCACTTCCTCTTCCTCCCAGCCTTCTGTTCTGTTTACTCCACCTACCTATGTTCTAACCAATAAAATGGGCCAAGGCAGTTCCTTTATTAGCCAATGACCTTCCTCCATCAGTAACTAATAATGTTGAGTAGTGAGACTGAAGCAATATTTGTCAATATGGTATTTGTGTCGAGTTAAAGAATTCCCTGCAGGAGCTGTTTCTCTCCTGCCACAATGTTGTTTCTGGGGAAAGAATTCAGATGGTAAAGTCTGGTGGTAGGCACCTTACCCACTGAGTCACCTCATCTGGCATGATATCTTTTAATGTTAACTTATTTATTTTTGTATTTTTCAGCTTTTTGGCTTTGTGACACAGTAAAAGGAAATTAAGCCTGAAATATAGAACTATTCTATAAAGCAGACTAAAGAATATTCTACTTTAGCCAGTTGTGGTGGTGCTGTAATCCCAGCACTTTGGAGGTGGAGGAAGGTGTGTCAGGAGCAGTTCAAAGTCATCCTAGTCCTCCGAGCCAGTTCAAAGCCAGGCTACACAGATTTTGTTTCATAACAAAACAAAAACAGGACCCAAGTACATATGGTTTCTATAAGACAAAAGATTCATATCCTTTAAAATATTTTTATTAAATTATCTACTTGGAGAATAATTACAAAAGCTTTAAGCAGTAATTCCAAGTAATGAAAGGCATTTTAGTTTAAAAAACAAAAACAAAAATATCCTTATGATTTACTGCTTTATACACAGGAATGATTTATTTTACAAGCATTTGTAACATCAACCTATAAAATTAAAAACGTTTCTTAATGTCTGAAATGCCAAGTGAAGTCTACAATGGTAAGCTTCCACATAAAGCTGCCTATGAACAGGCTAAACTGAACTCTACAGTAACAACTCCACACAGAGTTTACATGACAGGCACTTTAAATCAGATACGGGAATCTTTCACAGTTAGTGTTGCTTTTTTTGAAGCTCATCTCATCAGAGGTAACCAACTAGTGAAGCCAGGATTTCCTGGTGCAGGACAGGTTTGGTTCCAAATACTTCAGTTGTAATACATGCAAGACATGCCCTAAATAAGAAGGATCTTCTGAAAGAAAATGAAGAAAAACAAAAAAGCAGCCCGGAATAAAAGCATTTACAAGCATCTGCACAAGGCCTTTAGTCAGTGTTTTAAACCCCTTCATTCTCAGGTAAGGGATTAAGAGGCCGAGAGAGGTACCCTCGGCGAGGGTGAGGATACTGGAGGCTGGCAGTGTCGGCATCGCAAGAGTGCTCTACCAGAGGAGCAGGAGGAGGAAGGAGCTGGGCACAACTGGACCATCTTGATCCAGCCCGTGGGGAATCCAGAGGGGGAAAGAAATACCTGAAATAATGAAGACAGGAACAAAACACCAAAACAAAAACAACAGGGGGAAGGAGGGAGGGGGAAACAGAAGAAAAAGAGAAAAGCAGTAAATACAAAGAGAACCAAAGAAGAGAAAACATGCTGGAAAGAAAAAAAAGGAAAAAAAGCTTGTATATTCATGCCAAAACCAATGGAACATAATAGTATAAATCAAGACTCTCACTTAAATCAAGGTTGCTTAAGCAAGTATAAAAATTTGGGAGAAAAAAAATCTGTTAAAGTTAAAATGCCAAAAAAATTATCAGTACATATGTTACAGAGACATTAATTTTATAAATTTTAAAGCCTTCTCTAATCTCTCATTTGATTCCATAATTTACAAATCTAATATGCTTTCCATTTGGAGCACAGCTGCATTTGCTGCAGCATCAGGCACAAGTGTTTAGTGCACACATGATACTGTGGACAAAAGCGAATACGCTCTCACACTGGAAAGCTGACTACTGCAACATGCTTTTGAAAAATATAACCACTGAACAGTTTTGGCTTCCTGCAAAAAACTAAGAATCGCTACAGGTTTGGTGTCTAAAAGGCTCAAAGAATTATAGTCTGTTATTCTGCCATCTTATAACTTACCCGTAATATGTATGCAATTTAGTAAATAAAAAGGTGCATAACTTTGTCAAAGTCAAGAGTTTTAGTAGACAGGAATTCACTGAAACAACACATTAAAAATCCTGAGACATGGAATTTCAACTGCATGCAAATTTTCAGCAAAATGTCAACTCTTCTTCTGTTTCCAAATTGTCTAAAAGGAAACCAAGTTGTATAGAAGCACACCATCAGCATTCATGTACATAATAGAAACAGCCATCTCTTTACTGAGTACGGGATGAAAATTTAAAAGTGCTTCCACTATTTTACTACCAAAAAAAAACTGCAGCAAATGCTAATGTGATGTTTAGCTATAAGCCATTTTATCTGAACTCTGGTGCTATGTTAACTATCTGCTCCTTTACTAGTATTTTTAATTACAAGAAAAACCAGTTGTGTAGATTATATCACCTATAAAGCAATTCTACAAAAGGTAAACAAATTAGCACTCAAAACAATCTTTATGAAAAATATTTATTCAATTTTCAAATTAAAATTATAAAAACTCATTTTAGCTTATTGTTTTAGAAAATAAAAGACATATCCCTATATTTTCCAAATGGAATAATATTGTATTTTCCCTCCTCCCAATAGTTTATGAGGATAGTAGCAATTTTTTCCGTTTTTTTAAGCCCAAGTTAGTCTAAAGAACATTTCAAAAAATTGTTTTGGTGATGATGTCTCAACAAAAAGCCTTTCCATTTATAGTGTCGGTAAACTGACTTGTACAAAAAATTATATACACTGCAATTTTAAAGGCCTTTCGGACTGTGTTTAGTAGTGATCAGGCTGCTGGTGCATCTTGGGAGAGATCAAACGGCGCTGGGGAAGGGGAAAAGGAGTTCGATTTCCATTCCTGTGTGCATGCAACAAGCAGCCAAACAGCAAAGTTACTCCAGCTAGCTTGTACTCAGCTGTGTTTTCTGTTAGAGGACATAATACAAATGGAAAAGGGAAAATGATCACAGATCCAACAGATGGTTATTGGCACAATCAGAAAACAGGTCAAACCACCAAAGCTATTTACAGAAGAAAATAACAGTACAAAAGCTGTAACCTAAAACAAGGTTTTAAAAATCAACAACACTAGTATGCTTTCCTTCATAAAATAATCTGCTTTATCTATGGTTAACTTGAAACTGCTTCTGTAGTTGCAAATACTTAAAACCTCAAAATCAAATAACAAGATTTCTTTATAAAAAATACAATAGTATCAAAACAACTGGGAAAATTAAAATATAATTTCTTCTTTGGTTTAGGGTGACAATAGGATAACTCCACAGGAGTTTTAAGATTTTGAAATTTCCCAAATTCTATTCTATCAATATTAATATAATATTCTAGTAATATAATATTCTATTATCTGAAAGCGACTCTTTATTGTATGTACTATAACCAAAGAAGCCATTAACTACAGACCCAAGAATGAAATACCAAGAATAAGTGTCACAGTTATTGGTGAATTACTTTATTCCACCTGCAAAGTCACCTTTTAGTATGGCTACCATGAGAGATGGCTCAGCAATTAAAAGCATTGGCTGTTGCAGAGCAAACAGGTTTGATTGCCAGCACCCACATGGACGCTCACCTTCATCCTTAACTCCAGTTCTAGGGCATCTGACTCTTTCGGCTTCCAAAAACACTGCACAGATTGTGGTGCAGATATACAGGTAGGCCAAACAGCCATATATGTAAAATAAAAAGTGTGCCCAGGGTAGGGGATGGAGTTCCTAGTTTTCCCACAGAAGAGCCTACCTGCCAGCAGAAGATCCATTTAGTGAGTTCTGAAGATTTGGAATATTTGAGCTTAGTGAAGGATTTGAGTTTCCCAGTTGAGAACTCCCATTTACTGGGCTCCCATTACCTTTCAAAATACCAGTACACTTCCAATTGTCCATGTAATTAGCTGAAAGAAAAAAATAAGTCAAATACATTAATATGATTAACATCTACTCATACCGTACTGTCGAAAGATATTTGATCACACTGTGAACCTGAGAGTGTTGTTTACTGGAAAAACCCGTTTTTGGTTGTGATGTAGCTCAGGCCTACCACACACCTTTAATCCAAGAACTTTGTGCTTGAATATTATAAATAGGATTAAATAAAGTCAAGCACAGGGCAGAGGCAGAGGCAGAGCAAGCAACCTAGTGAACCTAGGATTATTAAGAAGAAAAGAGAGAGAGTAAGAGGGAGTCAAGAGGACAGTTAGAGACGCACAAGAAGTAGAAGGGAGGGACAATAAATCTGAGATTTGTTTGAAAAGGTGGGAAACTGAGGCTTCAGGGAAAACGGCAGAAGAGGAAGGAAGGTCAGCTGGGTGCTTTCTCTGCCTTTCTGAGCTAGTATCTGGCTCCTGAGTGTCTATTGGTAAAATCGAACAGTTGAGATTTTGTTAAAAACAACACTGTACTCTTCTCCTAAACCACAAAAAATAAGACAAAATATGGGTCACATTTTAAAAAAAAATTGTATGTATGTATACAACGATTGCCTAAATTCCATTCATGTGCATGTGTGCACATATATACACAGCGAAACCAGATGGTGACTCCTTTCACTCTTCATCTTAGTTTTTGAGGTAAGGTCTCTTTCTGAACCTAGAGCCCACCAATTTAGTTACACCAACTGTCCAGGGAGCTCCAGGGACTTTACTGCAAACGAACAGGCCTGAGCTTTACATAGGGGCTAAAAATCTGAACTTAGGTCCTCATGTTTTTACAGCAAGCACTTTACCGACTGAGCCATCTCCACAGCTCAGTAAGTGATGTTAACTTCCAGGTAAGCTTCAAAACAATTTTTAGATGAGATACATAACCAAGTCTTTAAGGTTTTTGAAGAATTACTAGGGCTAAAGAGATGGACCAGTGGTTAAGAGCACCTGGCTGCTCTTCCAGAGGACCAGGGTTCAATTCCCAGCACCCACTTGGCAGCTTACACCTATTCAGTTCCAGAGGATCTGACACTTTCATTCCAATGCACATAAAATAAAGCTAAATAAAAATTAAAAAAAAAAAAAGAATTACTAATTTAAACCAGCCATGGTAACTCATACCTGTAATCAGAGTTTCAGGGAGCTGAGGCAGAAGGATTGCTCTGGGTTTGAGGCCATCCTGAGCTACACAATGAGTTGCAGACTAGCCTAGCCAAAGAGCAAGATCCTGTCTAAAAAGTAATCTAAAAACACTAGAGCTTTTACCATCGATTTCCCTTCCTGGCAAGAGAGTCAATGGAGACCATTCTCTAGTAACAATAGTTCCTATCCAGGCTGTGGGAATAGTTGACTCAATAAAATACCTGCCTTACAACCATGTGGACCTGAGTCTATCAAAAGAACCCACCAGATGAAGTGGCATGCCCTTGTAATACCAGCAATGGGGTGTCAGGGATAGACACGATCCCTGGGGTTCAACAGCTGGCCAACCTAGCTTACTTGGCAAGTTCCCAGGCAAGAAAGACCTCGTCTCAAACCAAAAAGGTGGGTCATACCTGAATAACACACCCAAGGTTGTCCTCTAACCTGCACAAGTGTGTGCACGCTCAAGTTAGTACAAAAATAAAACCTTTAAAAAACAAATGAACTCAAATTCTTTGTCTTTCTTACAAAGAATCTATACAAGGAAGGGAGCTGTCTCTTAGCTATGCAAATACACATTACATGGGTACCTGTGTAGATTATGGTCAGAGAGATATATCGATAAGAAAACCTCAGTGTACGCCGGGCGGTGGTGGCGCACGCCTTTAATCCCAGCACTTGGGAGGCAGAGGCAGGCGGATCTCTGTGAGTTCGAGACCAGCCTCGTCTACAAGAGCTAGTTCCAGGACAGGCTCCAAGGCTCCAAAACCACAGAGAAACCCTGTCTCGAAAAACCAAAAAAGAAAAAAAAGAAAACCTCAGTGTGGCAGGTTAGTGGTTCATCCAATATGGTCTCATTCTTCAAATGCAAAACTGGTCGCTGAAGTCAACCCAGTGAATCAAAGTTGAAGACCTAATTGTGTTACTTAAGGTTTAAAAGCAAAAAGACAGACAAGTCCCTAAAATCAAATTGAGGAAAGTCAAGTCTGGGCTGATAATACAGAATATATCCTAGGACTATCAGGGGAAGCCATCAAGGCTTAGCCAGACTGTACTTCACCGGCCAATCAATTGCACTTGTAAAGCTGATGTTTAGAATAGTGTGTCCACTGTGATGCTACAGATGCCAAAGTCAGTGTCAATGGCTTGGACCAAGTTCCCTCAGTGTAACACTACAAGAAGCTCAGAATCAGAAAGACAGTAATCTTGAATTTTGGAGTCAAAAGGGAGAAAATAGAAAAGACAGTGACTTAAAGTCTGTGTGAGTGTGTGTGTATGAATGCCACAGCACTAGAAGAAGTCAGCTTCAGCTGTCAGTCCTCACTTCTAGCCTGTTTAAGATAGGACACTATTTTTCCACTGTGCTGCATTTACCAGGGTAGGGCCCTGGAGCTGCTTATGATTCTCCTCTCTCTGCCTCCCAGTTCCCTACACTGAAACTGAGACACCTGAGCTATGTGTCTGGTTGTTAGGTGAGTTCTGGGGATTCAAACTCAGGTCCTCATTCATTTGAGGTCAACACTTTTACCAATGACCACCAGAGGCTTCTCCCAGAAAGCAGCCACATAAGTTAGCTTTCACTAGAGGCTGCATATTCTAATTAGTTTTAAAACAGGCTTTCTTCCACACAAAAATAAAACATTTCAACTGGCCATTAAAGTCTATGAACTAAGTAATCTGGTATTTCAAAATAACACAAATAAGACAACTTTTTTGTTTGTTTTTGTTTTTCGAGACAGGACTTCTTTGTGTAGTTTTGGAGCCTGTCCTGGAACTAGCTCTTGTAGCCTCAAACTCAGAGATTTGCCTGCCTCTGCCTCCCCGAGTGCTGGGATTAAAGGTGTGTGTCACCACCGCTCAGTGACAATTATTTTAAAACAATATTAAAGACAATTTTTAAAAAATATATTTCAGGGGACTGGAGAGATGGCTCAGAGGTTGAGAGCACTGGCTGCTCTTCCAGAGGTCCTGAGTTCAATTCCCAGCAACAACATGGTGGCTCACAACCATCTGTAATGAGATCTGGCGCCCTCCTCTGGCGTGCGGGCATACATGGAGGCAGAATGTTGTATACATAATAAATAAATAAATCTTTAAAAAAATATATATATATATATATTTCAGTAGTGAGTTCCAGGACAGCCAAGAATACACATAGAAACCCTGTCATACATATATATATCATGTTTTATTTCAAAGTTTACACTTTTAAATGGAAAGTAAACAGAAGTAACAATTATCCCTCCACTAAAACCCTTACCTTTCCACAACCTCACACAGCCGTCATCTCCTGAGGACGCTAGTACTGTTCCTGTAATGTTCCAGCTCACCCTCCAGACCTGAGAATTATGATTATCAAACTGAGCCACAATATGGATTTCAAATTTTGTGGGACCACCAGAAGAAGTAAGTTCTTTCCTACAACAAGATTAATGAAGTTTTCATAAAAATGTGTCGTATGTATACATACACTCTCACACATAAACACACAACTTAAGTAAGAAATACTAACACAAATAAATACGCTTCCCATATTTTTCCCTAACCGCACACCTATGTCCCCGACCACTGAGCCCTTAGGCTACACAAGAGTCACTTTCTTTGGCTCCTCAAAACCTGGACTTATTGCATCCCACAGATGGTACTCAGTGACTTTTTTTTTTTTTCAGAAGAAAAAAACCAATTGAGCATATCATTCCCCAAAATGAGGTTCAGAATCCAATGACATGACAACTTTATATGACAGACTAGCAGAAAGAAGTACAGATCAGGAAAAGGACCTGAGACAATTCAAACTACACCCTCACTCCGAAAGGTGACACGGACTGTTCACCAGAGGATGCAGTCCTCAGACACGCACCTCTACTGTCCTCTACAAAGAAAGACAATCAAAAGGAACATGTACTCTCAAATTCCTTATTTTAATTCGACTTACCTCACAGGTTTTAATGTGAAAATTCTTACATCTTTGGTTGCTATTGCCAGGATATGGAAAGATCTTCCCAAATTCGGAGCAAAGGCAATATCATGAACAGGATCTGTGACGGTCATAAGAGTTTCCGCTTTTGCATATTTCCTGATTAAAAAAAAAAGAAATAAGACACAAAACTTGGTACTAGAGTGATGGTTCTGTGGTCAAGAGCACTTGATGTTCTTCCTGGATCACAGCCGGATTCAACACCTACATCAGGTGGCTCACCACTGCCTATAACTCCAGCTTCAGGGGAAAATATTCTCTTCTGGTCTCTGTAGGCAACTGCACACATGCAGCATACACTCACATATACACATACACATAAATAAAACAAATCTTCTGTGAGTTCCAAGTCAGCCTAGGCTACATACTGAGATCCTGTCTCAAAATAAATAAATAAAACCTTTTAAAATTTTTCAGAAACTTGAAAAACTTCAATATATCTCCATTTTTCTCATACTGCTCACAATAAACGCTTGCCTTTGTAGGACACTGAAGAGCGGCCCAGACGATAAACTAACTCCTAAGTCCAAACTGGAGCCTATAAATATGACTATCAAAAATAATTTATCTATCCTTGTTCATTATTACTAGGGTAGGACTGACTCTGACATCTGGTGCCCTTAGAAAGACACAACAGTGAAGGGGCATGAAGTGAGGCTGCCACAAGCCGAGGCGCCCCTGGCTATCAAAACTAGAGCCGCCAGCAAGGATTTCAAAGGAGCACAACCAAACAACACCTTGATTTCAGACCTCTGGCCTCCAAACCTGCAAGTGAAGAAATTTCTGTTGGGTTAGCCCTAGAACCAATCAATATAAGGCTCAATCTTGCAATGTAAGTGTATATTAAGATATTTAATCAAAACTTGGCTAGACTAAAATTGGTTTATTAGTAGGTATTTTTGTTTGTTTTTAAGAAAAGGGAAAGCGGCATGGTGGTTCATGCCTTTAATTCCAACACTTGGTAGGTAGAACTCTATTTAATGAATTCAGCCTGGTCTACATATGAGTTCCAGGCCAACCAAGATCACACACACAGTCTCCAACCAGAAGCAAGGAGGGAGAGAGGGAGGCAAGGAAGGAGAGGGGCAAGGAAGGAGGAAGAGATGAAGGAAAGGAGGGAGAGAAGGAGGAAATTAGTAGGCATGATGGCAGACACCTGTAACACCATCACTTAAGAAGTACATAAGACCTTGGCGGTGGTGGCACACATCTTTAATCCCAGCACTCAGGAGGCAGAGAAAGGTCAATCTCTGTGAGTTCAAGGCCAGCCTGATCTACAGAGTTGAGTTCTAGGACAGGCTCCAAAGCTACACAGAGAAACCTGTCTTGAAAAAAAAAAACAGGGAGAAAAAGAACACAATAAAGACTGAGTTCCTGGCCAGGGCATACACCACCACCACTCAGCAACACTTAATACTCCTAACCGATGCTTATGAAAAACTCAAAACACTTCTTAATCACCTATGTAAATGCACATACCTGTATCATCTTGCTATCTTCCCCCTTTCTCATTGTCTAATTTGATGCCAAACACTAATAATCTCCCAACTGGATGACAGTAACAGCATCTTCACGCCGAATCCAATGATGCTCCTTCCACAATGCTTCTATCTACGGAAGTTAAACTACCATCCGACCCTGTAGTTGCACTCACATGACCAGCAGGATGACACTACAGCAATGGCACAGGCTCTTGAGTCCCATTTGCCTGTGATGTTCCGACCTGAGCCGTGACTATGTCCTGTTCCCAGGTCTTATCAAATACTGTCTTCTGCACATAGAAGGCTAGCTAACTTGCGCTCACCCTCTAGGTCCTCCTCTAAGTGAACAATCCTAACCTAATCTTTAGGCCAGGATTCCCCAGGTAGAAAACTCTTCAACATCCTCATTCTTTTAGTTTAGAAGGTGTATCCCATTCCTTAGTATTGGTTTCCATTTTCTCGACAGGATGCTACATACTGAGATACTACTTGCCTTCTCTTCCACCCTACTTATTGGCAAACGAGCATATGCCTTAAGTACCACTCGGCAAACTGAAATGGGAAGATCAACTAACTGAACTTGCTCAAGACCAACCAGGGTAACAAAATGTAAAACCCAAAAGGGCTGAGAGATGGCTCAGAGGTTAAAAGCACTGTTTTTATTCCAGAGGTACTGAGTTCAATTCCTAGCAACCACATGGTAGCTCACAACCATCTGTAACAAGATCTGGGCCCTCTTCTGGTCTGCAAGCACACATAAAGGAAGAACACTATATATATATAGTAAATATTTAAAAAAGAAAAAAAGAAAGAAAGGAAGGAAGCAAGCAAGCAAGCAAAAATCAATGGGGCTGGGGAGATGGCTCAGCAGCTCAGACCACTGTTGCTCCTGCAGAGGACCTGGTTGTATTCCCAGCACCACAAGGTGGTTCCCACCAAACCACAACAGCAGTTCGAGGAGCCAGTGACCAAGCACGCCCATGGTACGCAGACATAAATGCAGGCAAAGCACTTGGAAAATACATTTTTTTTACAAAAGTAAAAACAAAACAAAAAACCCACAAACGAAAGCACAACACAGAACTTGATATGTCACAGGAAACCAGTGAATATGTACAATGCAAAGTAATAAATAAAGGAATAATAACTTAAAAAAATTCTGACCTGGTGTTTTCATTGTATTCAAAAATCTGAACCTTGGCCATGGCATTTGGACTGCTGTCATCACTTCCCACGGCGATCATGGGGGAGTGAGCACGAGAGCTAGGAATGAAGGGGACACTCGTAAGGTGCTGAATTAACATAATTTAAAACCTACAAGTTAGCCAATCCTTACTACCACATCTGATGTCCACTCCTGAGGCAGAGGCAGGTGGATCTGTGAGTTCGAGGCCAGCCTGGGCTACAAGAACTAGTTTCAGAATAGCCACCAAAGCTACAGAAAAACCTTGTCTCGAAAAAACCAAAAAAGAAAAAGAAAAAATTAAAGATGAAGCTCAACATGAAACAGAAGCAAAATAAGCTCATATTCTCTCTACTCATTCTCTCTCCCTGCTTTCAAGACAGAATTTTTCTCTGTGCAGCCCTGGCTGTCCTGGAACTTGCTCTGTAGACCACGCAGATCTGCCTGCCTCTGCCTCAGGAGTGCATGTGCCACCCCTGCCTGGCTAATTTTCTTTCTTAAGAGAGGAATCTCTGCGGCTGGATAAATGGCTAAGGGTTAAGAGCACTGGATGATCAACCACATAGATGGTGGCTCACAATGATCTCTAACTCCAGTTCCAGAAAAGCTAATGCCCTTCTCTGGCTGCCACAGGCACTGCATGATTGTGCTGCACAAACATACAAGCAGGCAAAACAATAATACACATAAAATGTCAAAATTTTAAAAGTAATTATATAGTCTAAGAACTATATGACTAATATAGTTAATAATTAATTTAATAATAATAAAGAATAAATCCATAAGATAAATTTAAAACTGCAATTGCCCATAACTATAAAGATTACCACAAATACCTACTAGTAGTCATTTATGAATGAATGAGCTATATTCATCTATCAGTGAATATAAACAGTTTAGATCTGAGACCAAGAACCAACAATATAAATGAAATACACAAGAAATTGTGACCACCAGAATTAAAATCTAGAAATTAAACTAGGGACAGTATTTAATTTTAGAAAGATAACTTTCAGTTTTATACTCTTCTATATATATTTGCATTTTTTTCTTAAGTAATTAAAAAAAAATAAAAAGCAAACAGGGAAGCTGGAAAGATGGCTCAGCACTTAAGATCACCTGTTGCTTTTCTTGAAAACCCAGGTTCAGTTTCCAAGCACCCACATGGTAACTCACAATGGTCTCCAACTCCAGTTCCAGGGATCTAACACCCTCCTCTTGCCTCTAAGGGCACCACACACACAGGTGACACAGACACATATAAGTTTCTTTAAAACATCGTTTAAAAGCAACTATGGCATAGTCACACAATCAACCACTGTGGAGCATTTAAACAGAAATGATGTTTAAACGGGTGTGGTGGCCATATTATTACTATCCCAGCACTCAGGAGGGTGAGGCAGGATAGTAAGTTCAACACCAGTGCTGGCCGGTTATACAGCAAGTTCTAGACTAGCAAAGGCAACACAGCAAGAAATCCCTGAAATGAATGAATGAAATGTTTTAAGAGAAATTCTATAAATTATATACCAATACGTAAAGAAAGGCACACAAAGTATTTTTCTGTAAAAAAATGAACTTCAAGGAAAATATATGGGTTTTATACATATAGGGGTGTACCATGTCTCCTAGTGTTGGTATGTATCTCATTATGATGATGGAAGGTCATTGGTTAATAAAGAAACTGCTTGGCCTGATAAGTTAGAACATAGGTGGGTGGAGTAAACAGAACAGAATGCTGGGAGGAAGAGGAGGTGAGGCAGATGCTATGCCACTCCTCTCCAGGGCAGATGCCGATGAAGCAAGCCGCCAGGTCAGACATGCTGAATCTTTCCCGGTAAGACTGGTGCTACACAGATTACTAAATATGGGTTAGGCAAGATGTGAGAATTAGCCATTAAGAGGCTAGAACTAATGGGCCAAGCAGTATTTAAAAGAACACAGTTTATGTGTAATTATTTCGGGGTATAAGCTTGCCAGGCGGCCGGGAGCCGGGTGGCAGGAACGCAGCCCACACAACATCATTATTTTTGCATATATCTGTCTCTTGAAAATATCCTAGTTTTAATTGATTTATTTTGGTTTTTCGGGACAAGGTATCACTTTTTAGCTCTGGTTGTCTTGAAACTCGCTTTGTAGACCAGGCTGGCCTCGAACTCAGTGATCTGCCTGCTTCTGCCTCCCAAGTGCTAGGATAAAAGGCAGCCTGCTTCTGCCTCCCAAGTGCTAGGATAAAAGGCATGCGCCACCACAGCCCGCTCTAATTTATTTTTGCATACATGGAAAATGTTCTACATGTTTTCATCAAACTATTGATAATGGATGAATTCATCCGTGATAAGAGAGATAAGACACATACCCAGATAGGAAAGGGGAAACTTCCTTCTAGATAATATTATTATGTAGTTACAAAGTACATCTGAGAAACCAAACTTACAAATTCTTAGTTTGAAAAACCTCTCGCCTGCTTTAGTAGACTTATCAAAGGTTTCTATGTAAGCTTACCTGGAAGGGTTCCAAGAAATGCAACTACAGCTCAGCTTACATGAGATCTCGTGCTGTAGAGACCACTGGCTGAGATTCATAACATCTGGAGCCTCATATATTCTTACTATACCATCTGCTGAACAGGTTGCTAACATCAGACCCATATGTTTGGGAGCAAATTTCACATCAGTAACAGATGTTCTACTATCCACTAGAGTTGTCCTCTTCACCTGAAAAAAAAAACAAACAAACAAACATATATGATTTGGATCACACACAAAAAGAAAACGTGATGGATTTGAATAAGAAATGTTTCAGAATCACAAAGACATATCTGCCACTTACAAAGTGTTTATTCTTGCAAGAGTCACTTAAAGCCTCTCTTGGTCTCTATTTCCAATGAAGCACTTTGCTTATCTAACAACCACTAACAAATCAGTGAGCTGTAATTAACTACTGCCTTAAAGACAGAAGAGTCTGCCTACTATGTAAGCAATCACGCTGTGGTGTTTACAAAGAAAATGGCCCACAAAGGGAGTGGCACCATTAGGACATGTGGCCTTGCTGGAGCAGTGTGTCACTGTGTGGACAGGCTTTGGGATCTTTTTGCTCAAGCTTCCCTCAGAGTGACAGTCAGTCAACTTCCCGATGCCGGCAAGATGTAGGATGCTCAGCTATTCCTCCAGCACCACATCTGCCTGCAGGCTACTATGCTCCCGCCATGATGACAATGGACTAAATCTCTGAAACTGTTAGAGAACCCCCTCAATTAAATGCTTTACTTTATAAGCATTGATGTAGTCATGGTGTCTCATCACAGCTATAGAAACTCTAAATAAGACACTCAATAGACAGACTGATCCTCAAACCAGAAAACATTAGAAATTTTACAAAGAGCTGTCATACAAAGCATGCTACAAGTAGTAAATCAAATGAATTAGGATCCTCTAACAGTGAATATAAGGCCTGCAACTTCTATCAATGTCAGTAAAGAAATGGACTACATAAAAGACAGAAAAACACCTGCAGACTAAACTACCTTATGGCAGAACCAGAAGGCAAGAGAAAAGGAGTATCTCACTGCACAAATCCTTTTATAGCTTTCAATTCTATGTTGTATGATTATTAAGAAAAACAAATTGAAAGGAAAATAAAATACTTTACATGATAAACTTCAGGGAAAAGTCTCATAATCTACTCCATTGCTCTGCTTTTACAGTTGAGTAATGTGAGCAGCACACAGGTACTACTCCTGTCCAAAACCAATCATTTCGCTAAAGGCTGAGGTAGAACTTACAATAGATGCAGATATGGAAACCACGGAGTGTAGCTCAGTGACAGTAGGAGCCCTGGGTTCAATTCAGAAGTCTAAAATCATACACTAGCTACCAATCCAAATCATACAAAATAGACAGCTATATAGAATTGAGGGCAAAGCAAATACTGAGTTAATCACTAGAAATAATGATGGACCAAGTACCAGAGCAAGCCAAGCAAACGTGAAAGAAAGAGGAGAAAATATGAATGGGAGAGAGGGAGAGAGAGAGGGAGGCAGGAAGGCAGGCAGGCAAGCGGACAGAGGGCAGTGTTAACAGTGTGTCAGGGGCCAGGGTATTACTAACGGTCTGTTTGTTCACAGATCTGCTTTCCTGTATGACACTAAATCTCACCCAGTGACTCTGTCCTCGAAGTTTATCGTTTGATTCTCCTACTATTTCTTCCCAAACAGCGGCTGTTCGGTCAAAAGAACAGGAAGCCAAAACTTGTCCAAATTCAGGATGAGCCCATGTCACACGCCACACAGATCCGCTATGTGTCTGAGGGATTTAAAAACAGAACTTAGTTTACTATCTTCACACATGCAGTTTATTTGAGAAAATAGAACGTGAGCTGTTTACTTCAGAAAGATGAGAAAGACACCAGCTTAACATCAAAATAAAGAGTTAATTTCTGGGGCTAGAGAGATGGCTCAACAGTTAAGAGCACTGCCTACTGTTCCAGAGGTCCTGAGTTCAATTCCCAGCAAACACATGGTGGCTCACAACCATCTGTAGTAAGATTTGGTCCTCTTCTGGCCTGCAGAACACTGTATACATAATGAATAAATAAAATCTTTAAAAAAAAAAAAAGTTAATTTCTTCTTCTGTAGACCAGGCTGACATGGAACTCAGAGATCAGCCTGCCTCTGCCTCCTGGGTTCAGAACTCTTTCTGAAGCCAGGCAGTAACTTCAACATGGTAACAATGTCACAAAGGGTAGACTGCCCCCTTGTTTGTCTCCTCTTTTGCACTTCCCTTCAATTCTTGCTTTAAAAAGCTGTTAAATATCACTAAGTGATATTCACTTAATCAAATGTTAAAATCCCATTCTAACTAAAGAATGAGGTCTGCACAAAGATGTCACAATTTTTTTTTAAATATTTACTTATTTACTTATTATGTATACAATATTCTGTCTGCATGTATGCAGGCCAGAAGAGGGCACCAGACCTCATTACAGATGGTTGTGAACCACCATGTGGTTGCCGGGAATTGAACTCAGGACCTTTGGAAGAACAGGGAATGCTCTTAACCACTGAGCAATCTTTCCAGGCCCAGATGTCACAATTTTTAAAAATTTTAGTAACCAGGCATGGTGGTGCATCTGTGAGCAAGGCCAGCCTGATCTACACAGCAAGTTCTAGGCCAGCCAGGCTACAAAGATCCTTGTCTCAAAAAAGAAAATTAAAAATTAAATAGCCTGGTGTGGTAGCAGGTGCTTGTAATTCTAGCAGTTGGAAGACAGATACATACCAAGTTCCAGGCTATCTCAAACAAGCAAAAACAAAATTTTAAATCTCCATCTAATAATCAACACAGAACACTTACTGGATGTCTCTAAAAAGCTTTGAAGTCATAGGACAGCACTGAGAAGACAGAGGGGTTTCCTTTGCACATGGCATGTTGTTAAACCTGTAATCTGTCACAATGACAGAAAGGAAGCAGACATTTCTAACACTGAAAAACTGCCCATCAGCAGGTCGGTGGTGAAATAGATGTGGCTCATCTATACACTGAGACTGCTCAGTATCATATAAAAACAAATAATGCTTGTGTGGTGGCACACGTCTTTAATGCCAGCACTTCGGGCATAGGAAGTTTGAGGCCAACTTAGTCTAGGCTGAGTTCTAGGTCAGCCAGGGCTACACAGGGAGAACCTGTCTCAAAGCAAAAACATAAAACACTGGTCTACAAGAGCTAGTTCCAGGACAGGCTCTAAAGCTACAGAGAAACCCTGTCTCTAAAAAAAAACAAAAAACAACAACAAAAAAAAAACCCATAAATCACAACATGGATGAACCTTTGTTAAGGGAACTAACCAGATACAAAGGACAACATAAATCATTAAGCTGCATCACCACGTCCCATGTCAGCCCAGGTGACGACTCAGATGCTGTCACTGCAGCAAGCCCACCTTCAGGCGCCCTTCCACCTTGTATGTACTGCCATACCCAAGACCTCATGCAGCTGGGGCAGAGAGGAGGATCCATGGACTCTTGTCCATCTCCTCTTACGATGGAACGCTAGCATAGAGTTGACATCACTGTGCTCTCTACTCACTTCCTTGCTGTGACTACAGGGCCAGGGTATTCTGGAGGTCACCAGGGCAACTCAGCTTTGTGATGGCAGTAGTCATGTGATGTGAGGCCAGGAGAAAACAGGGCTGCTACATACAACATACGGTTTCATGACAAACACTCAGAAACTGCTTTGGCTACCATGGACTCCTCACAGGTCCACAGGGCAATAAACACAGGATGAAAAAGCAGCACTGTGCCTCGTGTGTATAGGTCAAAGTCTTGTTGCTCTACACAGGCATGCCAATCACTTAGGAGTAGCTGTCTATCCCATCTCATCCCCTTTCAAGGCTGAAGCCACGGATAGAAATCCCTGTTCTCACTAAACCTGCAGTCACCTTGTTAGGGAAGAGCCAACCAGTAGAGGACAGATCTCCCCACATCAAAAGATAGAGCTGCACCCTGTAAGCAGTAAACGGTCTACGAGGACCAGACTAAGGAGGAGCAAAAATGGCCTTGAAGGCCTCTTGAGACCAACTTACAGAACTAGAGGTTGAGACAATGGTTTAAACCTGAAACTGATGCTACTGCCTGAAAGGCACAGTTGGGGTCACCCAGCTACAAACCCTGTGACCTACAAGTGACCCCACTTATAAGATAGATATATTGAAGCAGTAGTGGCTAAGATATTGTAGAAGAGATCAACCACTTTCTGATTGAATTTAAGGCCCACTCCACAAACAGAACTCATACCTGACTCAGCCAAAATGGCCAAGAACCTGTGACTAGGTACGTCACCTACTATTTTTTTGATAAACGAACATAGTAATAAAATGGCTCCTAATGACGTACAGCTATACCCATAGATGCTCAACTCACAGCAGAGCTGTTACCTGCAGTAGATGGGAATTAACACATCAAAAGGACCACAATTGGAAAATGAGCAGAGTGATAGACTTTGAAACACTTAGTCCTAAACAGGCTCAGGGATCTCTGCAGAAGAGGTGAGAAGACTTTAAGAGCCAGAGGCAATGGAAACAGTGTCTTCCAGAACAAAAGGGCTTATGTTTAAACTCAGGGACACTATGGCTGCACACAACAGGGCCTGCACAGATTCAAGCCAGGGGGTCCCAGGGCTGAAAGGAGAGAACTGGACACAGAGTAGCACCCTAACCAAGAAGCTACCTGCAGTTGGTACCTGTCAGCAAAGGAAAAATCCAGTTTTCTCCAATGGAGTCTCACTGGGTCTATCAACCACACCTCAGAGCAGGCCCACACCCAGGAGCAGCTGGCCAACACAAAAAGACCTCAGTGGCAATTCTGTGGGGTTTTGTTTCACTTTGCTTTCATTTGATGTTCTTATGGTCTTCTGCTTGTTTTTTGTTTCATTTTTGTGGTTTTGTAAGTAAGTATTTTTTGTGAGGGGGTTGTTTTTGTTTCTTGATTTGTGTTTGTTTTTGTTTAACAGAGAAAGAGTATAAATTTGGGACTAATGAAGAGAGGAGGGAAAAAACATGAAATATGCTGAAATCCTAGTAGTGGTTAAAGAATGCTACAAAAAATACTATTTTTCCAGTCTTTAGTTTTGAGACAGGGTCTCACTCTGTAATCCAGGCTCGCCTCTAACTCATGGCAATCTCCTGCCTCAGCCCCCCCCCCCCCCCCAAAGCACTGGGATCCCATACCTGGGCACACCTACAAATTTTCTTATTCTCAAATTTCCTATTGCCTTAATAATAAAGTCATAATTTAATAAATCAGAAGCTATCTTTCCAGGAAAGAATAGCATATCAATTTTATCATTTTCTTGAAGCTGAACACCAAGTAATTAATACTAAAATAGCAAACATTTCAATTTTCTCAAACCATGTAAAAATAAAAACCAACCTTCCAACTAGCAGTGCAATGCCAATCTCCGCTTTCACTTTTATCCCAGACCTATAAAAAAAAAAAAAAAAGGCAAATGAGTATAAGCACAAGGAAAACATCAACGCCAACGCCACAGGAAGCAGCAGAAGGAAGCATCCACTCCCTAAGCCAATGTTCACTGGAAATCGTGTGCCGCAACCCTGGGCTGAGCACTAAGGCATCCAAGAGCGCTAATAGGTAGTCAACAAATTCCCCCTCTCAGCCGGTTTTTTTGTTTGGTACTGCCATCCACTGGTGATGTACTGATACTGAAGGCTGAGCCCAGGGTCTTGTGCCTGCTAAGTGTGATGTGACGGGGGAGCTGAGCCATACCCCCAAACATGCTTTAGGAAGTAACGTTTGACTACTGAAACACTGTTCACAGCAGTTTAGGTTTCTGAATCTGGTGGATCATTTAGTGTGTATCTCTGTTCAAAGACATAAGTTGACATAAACTGTCAACTCGTCAGCATGGCAATCATTCCTGAAGGGCGCATATCACACACTGCTAAGGCACAAGACAACTCTAGAAAGCATTTCAGCATTGCCCCTGAAAACCATTTTCAGCTGTGAACTCACCAACACGAGGACAAAATAAGTGTACAAACTGTGGCACTGAGTGGACTGTGAACAAGATTTGTTTATAGTAATAGCCAAATACAAAGACAGTCATGCTGTTCCAGCTCAGCTAGGAAGATGCAACCAGGAGCCCTAGGCAGATAGGGATGGGGAGTTATTGGACACAGTGTCCATTAAGAATAATGAGACTATTCTGCAGACAGATGGCCATCCCACATTTTTGTAAATGCCTGAGAAAGCACAGTGGGGCCAGGCATGGTGGCACACACCTTTAAATCAACTCTTGGGAGGCAGAGGCAAGTAGATCTAAGTTCCAGGCCAGCGTAGTCTACATTATGAGTTCCAGACCAGCTTGGAGGGAAAGGAGGAGCACAGTGGGTTTTCACTTTGAGGTAACAAATTAAATTTAATAAGAAAAAAATAATGATGCATATTAATTTGTTATTCTGTTTTTCATTTTTTCTAGGGGAAAAAAATGCCATCCCAAGACAGAGGGGCACTTGACATTTGCTAAGCCTATTTTTTTTTACATCACTGTTAATATTAATAAGTTATTTTAGTTCTTTTGGTAGTCAGACATGGTCTATAATCCCAACACTTGGAAAACTGAAGGAGGAAGATTGACTGAGCTACACATATAGCAAGACGTTGTATCAAAAATGCCTGGGAGGCCGGGCGGTGGTGGTGCACGCCTTTAATCCCAGCACTCGGGAGGCAGAGGCAGGCGGATCTCTGTGAGTTCGAGACCAGCCTTGTCTACAGAGCTAGTTCCGGGACAGGCTCCAAAGCCACAGAGAAACCCTATCTCGAAAAATCAAAAAAAAAAAAAAGCCTCATTTGTGTTTAACAAATACAGGTAATCATAAACTACTTCTAAAATTTAAACACAAGCTGGGTGGTGGTGGCGCACACCTTTAATCCCAGCACTCGGGAGGCAGAGGCAGGCAGATCTCTGTGAGTTCGAGAACAGCCTGGTCTACAGAGCTAGTTCCAGGACAGGCTCCAAAGCCACAGAGAAACCCTGTCTCGAAAAACCAAAAAAGAAAAAAAAGACGGGTGGTTGGTGATACATGTCTTTAACCCCAGAAAAGGATTAATTTAATTAACTTAATATCAGGAGGCACTGTTGGGCTCTCCCTTCCACCTGAAGAAGGACCGTCAGACGAACTGACCACCAACCCTCTGAAACTATTCCATGACTGGGACTGAGCACCCCATGAAGGCAGGACTCCAGCATGGCTGTCTTTTTTACAATAACGAGCCTTAGGAACTCTCGATGACCATTTCCACCAAGCAGGAGCCAAGTCAACCTGCTATAACAGATGCTAAAGGTTCATGGTTGTGGTTCAAAGACCCCATTCTCTGGTGTATAAGCAGGCTGCTGAGGCTCACTAAGTCAGTCAGCTGGAGGTCACTGTCCTGTCCCATCTCTCCTTGTGCGACAACATTATGCCTAATAAAAAGGCTTCCCAGATGGTCATTTCCTTTTTTTTTTTTTTTCTTTTCTTCGAGACAGGGTTTCTCTGTAGCTTTGGAGCCTGTCCTGAAACTAGCTTTTGTAGACCAGGCTGGTCTCAAACTCACAAAGATCCTCCTGTCTCTGCCTCCCGAGTGCTGGGATTAAATGCATGCACCACCACTGCCCGGCTTCAGATGGTTATTTCTTGCCTACTTTCAGTAGCACGGGCAAAAGTGGTAACAAAAAATCATCATTAGGGACAGCAGAGGCAGCACAGATTAGTAGTCCAGTGACCAAGCTGGGAAAGCGGCAAAGCAGTTTGGTGGCTGGACAGCTGAAGCAGCCCCTTCGCTGACTGTCTTTACATGTAAGTTTTGCGTGCAAAACTACCTTCTCTCCCAGTATTGCTACATTATCTTAGTCTAAACACCATTCCTAAGGGCTTAACTGATGTCCGTTACCTGTAACCAGCTGTACTCATCGGACAATAGTTGGCTCAGCCCTTAAAGGGACCCGGGTTCGGGTCTCCCAGCAAGATGGATCACAACCTTAAGTCCAAGGGATCAGACACTAGGCGGTGCACATAACCTACATGCACGCAAATTAATCTTTTAAAATTGAGGAGTTGGAGGAGTGGAGCCGTGCCTGGCGGCGCACATCTCTAATCACAACACTCCCGGCAGAGGCAGGTACAACACCGGGGCTACAGAACTGAGATCCTGTCTCCAAACAATAATATATCGTATCATATTCAACGGACACTCCTTATAATGATCTTCGGAGACCACGGGAGCATGAACAATAGTAAGAATGTCAGGTTTTCGGCTAATCGGAGTTCATGCTTGGTAACCCCAACGTGGTTGAAGCTGAGACTGCAGGACTGAGACAGTCTCCAAAAACCAAGAACACAACTGCGCTGTGTGTATTTCCCCTTCATGGGAATCCAATCAGGGAAGCGTCCCAGCCAACACAGGCAAGGAGGCCCACAGAACTGAGACACACACACGGCCAAAGGGAAAAGACATCCCCACGATGAGCCACCACAGTCGCGGCCCACCAGGTTCCACGCTGGAAACTCGGCGCGCGCGTGCGCTCAGTGCCCGGAGGCCAGGAGTCCTCCCGCGCAGGCGCGACAGAGGGAGAGCACCGCGAGCGCGGGCGGCCGTGACCCCACAATCCGCCGGCGGGGAGGGCTCTCGCCGCTTCCGGGGCGGCGGCGTCCGTGGCCGCGGGTCGCGTGCCTCTCGGTCGGATCTGCTCCAGTCCTCGGCCCTCCGTCCCCGGCCCCGAGCAGCTGAGCGCCCCGCACGCACCTTGACGCTCTGATCGCTGGAGCAGGTGGCCATCCGGCGCCCGTGGAAGTCGAAAGACACATCGTGGATGAGGTCCTTGTGGTCCGCCGCGATGCTGCGCGCCACAAACATGGCCGCCGCCGTCTGCCCGGCCCGTCTTCTGCCCGGCCCGCCTCCGAGAGGGCGGCGGTGGGGCCAGCAGCCCCGGGACCGCCGCGGAGGCGCGTACGGTACGTCGGCCCGCGTCGGCCCGGCGCGCCACGCCCCGAGAGACACGCCCTGCGCGGGCGGAGCCTGTGCTCAAACCTCGCTGCAGCAGCCAGGGAAGCTGGGGATGCTGGAGGACGGAAAAGTGAAAACCCTTCCGGGGTCAACCTGCAGGTGTCTGCCTGTAAACACGTGATCTTACACCGGGCAAGTAGAGACTCCCGCTGCAGATTTGAACCTGGAGCTCAGCCGCGTCATTAGAGCCTCCCAGGAAGGATGGAGACGCCCAAAGATGTGGCTTAGAGAGTCCCGCTCAGCGAGCACGAGGTGACGCCGGAAGGATGGAGTTGAGACAGAGAGATTGGAGGACCTGAGAAACAGTGGTCAGTCCTGAGAGATCTCACAGGGTCAGCCAAACCAGAATGAGGAAATAGAAGTTAAGTCACCTAGAGAAATTGCAAGACCCAAAATGATGTTCAGTATTTATTTGCACGGAGCCAGTCTTTAATGGAGAAGTAAGTGAAATAAAAAAATAGCTTGCAGAGAGAAACCTATGATGGAAAATGCTCAAATCAGGAGGTTCAGACAAATCTAGGAAGTGATTCATTGTACCAAGGTTTTAGGTGGGAGGTTGGTTGTCATCTTTTTTTTATTTTATTTTATTTTATTTTATTTTTTGGTTTTTTTCGAGACAGGGTTTCTCTGTGGTTTTGGAGCCTGTCCTGGAACTAGCTCTTGTGGACCGGGCTGGTCTCGAACTCACAGAGATCTGCCTGCCTCTGCCTCCCAAGTGCTGGGATTAAAGGCGTGTGCCACCACCGCCTGGCCAGTTGGTTGTCATCTTTAATTCCCATGGAATATAACGTCTGCTTCTGGCTTCCATGGGCACGAGAATCATATGGTGCACACGCATGGATACAGGTGAAACATGTATGCACACAAAAATAAACATTTAAAAAGAATGAGAATTGTGTTAAAAGGGAGACTAAAAAGATATCAAAATTATTGGCCTCCGTTCTCTGATAGATCGATTTGTTTATAAACCTGTAGAGACAGGAAGTGAAATGATCTTATCAGTTCTTTTATTTTTTCCTTAATTTTCCTTAATCTTCTTTAAATTAAAAAAAATTTGGACCAGCCTGCGGTGGTGGCACACACCTTTAATCCCAGCACTCGAGAGGCAGGCAGATATTTGTGAGTTCAAGACCAGCCTTGTCTACAAGAATGAGTTACAGGACAGGCTCCAAAGCAACACAGAGAGACCCTGTCTCAAAAAACAAACAAAAAAAGATTTGGGCCTGGAGAGATGGCTTGTATGGTTCACCTCCTCTAATTCCAGCTTCAGAGACTCTGAAACATCTGGCTTTCATGAGAACCTGCACTCTCCGGCACACAACAGAGACACATGCACAGAGAGAGACGTAAATAAAAAAAAATTCTTTTTTGTGTGTTTCATTTTTGAGACAGGGTTTCTCTGTGTAACAGTCCTGGCTGTCCTGTAGACTACCTGGCTTGGTTAGAATACTTCCTTTTTTTGTTTGCTTATTTTGTTTTTCAAGACAGGATTTTTCTCTCTGTAGCTTTGGAATCTGTCCTAGAATTCACTTTGTAGACCAGGCTGACTTTGAACTCACAGAGTTTCGCCTGCCTCTACCTCCCAAGTGCTGGGATTAAAGGCTTGTGCCACCACTGCCTGGCTCAAAGTAATTCTTTTAAAAACGTATTTTATTCCTATTTCAGAGGTAGACTCCAGGTGCATCAGTTGCACAGAAAGTGAATGATAACTGTAACCCCTTTATGCTGCACAGAAAATGAATCACTGTAACCTCTTTATGTTCTGAGACAGTTCCAGAAAAAACACTCACTATATAAAAGTACAGCGTATACTTTTAAAAATAAATATTTGCAGGGGCTGGAGAGATGGCTCAGAGGTTAAGAGCAGTGGCAGTTCTTCCATAGGTCCTGAGTTCAATTCCCACATCCATCTGTACTGAGATCTGGCGCCCTCCTCTGGCGTGTGGGCATACATCGAGGCAGAATGTTGTATACATAATAAATAAATAAATCTTAAAAAGAAAATAAATAAATAAATAAATAAATGTTTGCCTGGCGGTGGTGGCGCTGGCTTTTAATCCCAACACTTGGGAGGCAGAGGCAGGTGGATCTCTGTGTGTTTGAGGCCAGCCTGGTCTACAAGAGCTAGTTTCAGGACAGGCTCCAAATCTGCAGAGAAACCCTATCTTGAAGAAGAAGAAAAAAAAAAAAAAATATATATATATATATATATATATACATACATATATATAAACACTAAGCAATCTTTGTTTGTTTGTTTGGATACAGGGTTTCTCAAACTCAGAGATCTGCCTCCCAAGTGTTGGGATTAAAGGCCTGCACTACCACCACCCAGTTAACCTTAATTATTTTTTAAAGATTAATTTTATTTTATGTGTATGAGTGGATTGCTTGCGTGTTTGTAGTATATCACTTGTGTATGCAGTACCTGTAGAGGTCAGAAGAGAGTGTCAGGTTCCCTAGAACAGGAGTTACAAACAGATTTTGAGCTGCCATGTGGATGCTGGAAGCTGAACCCAGGTCCTCTGTAAAAGCAGCCAGTAATCTTAACTGCTGGGACATTGTTCCAGCTCCTAGACACCAAGTTTATATAGAGATAGTAAACATTATCTGAAAGTAGAATATGAAGTAGAGGGAATGGGATTTTTAGAAGAAGAAATGCTAGGCAGTGGTGGCACTCGCCTTTAATCTCAGCACCTGGGAGGCAGAGGCAGCAGATCTCTGTGGTTTTGAGCCCAGCCTGGTCTACATAGTGAGTTCCAGGACAGCTAAGGCTACCAAGAGAAACCGTCTCAGAAAAACAAACCTAAGTTTTTATAGTGCTTTGAGATTCACAGAGAAATTGACAGAAAATACATTCAGAACTCTCCTAAATAGACCCTTGCATGCACACAATGCCTTCTGCTATCTACATTCTACAGCGTGGCAGGCACTGTTGTTATTTGTTACAACATAGCAGCAACACCAAAGTCTGTAATTTACATAAGGGCTCATTCTTGGTATATGTTCTGTAGGTTTTGACAAACATAAAATGGCTTGTATCCATCACTGTAAAATCATACAAAATAGTTTCCTTGCCCTAACAGTCCTGCGCTCCCCTAAAAATCACTGGCCTCTCCATCAACCTCTCCAAACCACACTGAAATGGTGACTGGCTTGATCTTTTTGTTTTGTTTTGTTTTTCGAGACAGGGTTTCTCTGTGGCTTTGGAGCCTGTCCTGGAACTAGCTCTGTAGACCAGGCTGGTCTCGAACTCACAGAGATCCGCCTGCCTCTGCCTCCCGAGTGCTGGGATTAAAGGCGTGCGCCACCACCACCCGGCGACTGGCTTGATCTTGTACGGGTCTTGTGCAGGCAGTCACAACTGCTTTCAAGTCATGTGTGCAATCTCCAGAAAACAGTTTCTCAGCAGCTCCCACCCCACAATCTCTGGCAATTGTAATCTTTCCATCCTCTCTTCTAAGATGTACCCTAAGACTTGGGGGAGGAAAATATGTGAAATCGATGCCTCATTTATGGCTGAGCACTTCACAGATACTTATTCTCTGTACCTTGACCAGTCACGAATCTGTACTAAGCCCCATACTCAGTTAAAGAAGTTTCTCTGCCAAGGACTAAGAACCGCACTAATCCATAGGTATAGAGATAAGGTAGAGATTTATACTATGTCCATTTAGCAGAATAATAGTAGGCTCTGCCTACCATCTGATAACTTCCCCAGCAATGAATTCTTAGCCCAATTTATAATACTAGGCTTGAGTTTCTTCCTGTGGAACAGGCCCTGAATCCAATCAGAAAGCTATTGAGTCCCCTGTACCGGTTATGCCACTGATGCTCCCATGGGCATATCTTGCCAAACATGCATTATTATAGTTTGCAGGGCTCACAGCTGGGTAAAACTATTAGCTTGTCTTCCCTAGCAGCCCCTATAGTATCTTCCAGTAGTATGAAAGCTACCTGGCCAGGAAGAAGTCTGCTAGTCAGCGACAGCTAGATTTCTCTGTGCCTCATGACAGCAGTTGGCTCTTACCATCAAATTCTGGCGGGCAGCTAAGAGATTGCCCTGTATTGTTTTAGGGATTTCTAAAGCACCTCTGTAGTTTTCTATCTATATTTTTAATATTACTATATTTTTTGTTCATTAAGCTTCAACATTGACTCCCTTAGGAACATAAATTTTAACAACAATTTGTAATTGATATTATGTATACTATTATTAAACATTCAATCAGAAAACCACTTCCCTTTAGCCATTTCAATCTGAGAATCTGAAACACACGTACACACAAAAATGTCTCAAATGTATTGGGGAGAGCTAATTAGAAGCAAAAGGAGCTGGGCGGTGGTGGCGCACGCCTTTAATTCCAGCACTCGGGAGGCAGAGGCAGGCGGATCTCTGTGAGTTCGAGACCAGCCTGGTCTACAAGAGCTAGTTCCAGGACAGTCTCCAAAACCACAGAGAAACCCTGTCTCGAAAAACCAAAAAAAAAAAAAGAAGCAAAAGGAATAGTTCCCAGCATTGGATTGGTGCTGCAACCTGTAAATCCAGCACTCAGAAGGTGGAGACAGAAAGAGCACAGATTGAGGGCTAGCCTGGACTACAAGAAGATCTTACCTCAAGAAAACAGACAAGGCAAAAAGAGAACACAGCATCACCCAGGGTTGTGTAAGTATAGGTAGGATGCTGCTCTCTACCTTCAGGTTGATCTAATGAAAGTCATTTTACTCCTGGTTGGCTGCTAGTCTGCTCCTGCTAGAATACTTACCACCAGTAGGAGGAAGCCAGGAGCCAGTTTTCCAGCTGACACTATCCCTAAAGGCAGTGAAAGACCCCCAGTGTGCGGTGACTCTCACTCAATTCTCAGGATAATACGACTATCCCCCCCCCCCCAACTCACGAGAGACCTTTCATGCTGCAATCACACGAGGTTTAATCGATGAGATGGGAACCAGTGCACTGGGGCCGAGACTCCTAACCCA